TGAGCTCCACGGATATGACGAGAGGAGGCATGGTCAACGGCGAGCAAGAGGATGCCAAGACCCACCTCTTCGCGAGCCTCGCCACACAGTTCGGTCCATTAGGCTCGGAGTCGCGCCTCCAGGCTACCCGCGAACCCGAGTTCTCGAGGCGACGCAACGAAACCACCGACGCGCTGCTCTCGCTCTTCTTACGCCGCGATTGCGAGTTACTCACAACGCTGGAACTGCGACGTCTTGGGGGGGCTACAGCTGGCTGCTCCTCCGAGCGGTCGGCGTCGCAGCTAGTAAATTCATGGCGCTGCTCCAGCCCTGCGACAGTCGACACTGATGCCGAGTTCAACAGTCCCGCGATCATGCTCAGACGCGTGGGTCACATCGTGGGGCATGCGCCAAACCACGCCGCCAGCGCTCTTCGTGCGCCGCCATAGTTCGGAGGTTTCGTTGTCATGACCAATGACAGCAGCAACGACGCACATGCAACATGTCCTTGGCACGCAAGGTCTCGACCGGTGCGCGCGACTAGCCCGTCGCAGAACGCCGCGACGCCGCAGGCTGCCCATCTCGCCGCCGCGCTGGCGCCCGCGAGCGGGGCCGACAGCGACGGCGGAGCCTCCTCAGACGCCATGCTGCATCCAGGTTCATCAACGAGAACAACAGCACCTTCTCCATATGAAAGGCAAAGGTAAAGACACTCACGAGTTCCCAGAAGTACGCCCATGGAGCTCTCAGACTCCCGCGAAGACCATGTCTTCTTCGGTGGAACTGCGCAGGGCAAAGGCGAACGCTCGCCGGGCCGAGGAAAGGCAGACGCCGCAAACCGAGAGGCTGCGGCGGGGCCACCGTGGCGCGTAACATCTGTGGGAGCGAGCGCCATTTCGGCGCAGAGTGCCCGCGAGGCACCGCGGGGCAGCGGCAGCGGCGGCCAGTTCGGAGGCCGCGCAGACTTTGGACCTATGGACGGCGCCATGGACTTCGGCCTGCTCGCCAGGATCTCTGGAACTACCTTCGTGGTCGCTCGGGCCCTCCTGGGCCGCGAGCAGGTTGCAGCGCCGCGCCGGCGCCGCGATCCGACGGCGGTTCCTGGCAGCTGCCTGGATATGTTCACGGCTCGCGGTCAGCAGGCTCGCTCGCGGCGGCCCGGAGCCGCGCGTGGACCGACGCGACAGCTGTCCTGCCGCCATCTCAGATGTTCAACATGGCAACGCAAACTTCAGGACCATTCCAACTGCCAGCGCTGCCGCCGTTCCCCGGCGCGGCCACCGCCGCCGCGGAGCGGGCAGCGGCCGCCGACGGAGCTCGCCCTTCCGCCAACGCGCCGCGGCGAACTGCTGCTCCGCGGGGCCCCCGCGCGATGAACTTCATCGACCCGCGGTGCAGCGCTGGCGCCGCTATCCTGCCGATGGGCCAGCTCGCGGTGCCCGATGATCAGCGTCAGCGGGTTACGCCAGCTCGCGCACCTACGGCAGGGTCAGCCAGCGCAGGCTGCCCTGTCAGACAGACAACGGCGCCGCAGATGTGGGCACCCGGCAGACGTGCCGACCGCGGCAATCGGGGCCAACGTCGCATGCGACCCGGCCCTTGAGATATCCACCCGGTTGTGCTCCATGGCCAGATTGGCGGCCAACCGCGACGCTCAGATGGAACGACGGCGTGCTCGCCGACGCGAGCACGCCCAACAGATGATTGACGTGGCCATGGCTGGACCTCCAGCTGTCGCGCGACCGCCACTGCCATCGGATCTTCGCGCAGAGTCAGAACTCGCAGGAGTGGAAGTTGACGCCGATGAAATGCGCGGCGCCTGTCCGGGCCGCTACATCAGCCTGCGTCTCGCCGCCTTCCGTCAACGCGGCCGCCGCTTCCATCGCGGCTCGGCCGGCGCCCGCGCCGCCGCGAGCAACGGCGGCGCCCGGGGGCGAGCGGCGGAATATGTTCGAGGCGACCAGGCCCGAGCACCATTCTCGCAGCGCGTGGCATATAGGCGGCGCTCAGCGCCGCGCGAGGTCACGGGCATCCACGTAGCAACCGCGCCCCAAGAAGCGCTCGAGGTGGACGTGCCGCGCGGGTCTGACGGGCCCCGATCGCGCCGCGAGACGCACCGAGCGGCGAGGTCATCTCAAGCATTCCTGCGCCCACCCAGGGACAGCCGTCGCCCGCGGGCTCGCCGCCGCGCGGCGGGGCCGACGCGCACCCCTAGTGGCCGCTCGGCGAACGAGTGCATAACCCAGGTGCATCCGTCGCGCCCAGCCACCCTCAGGCGAGCTCAGCGCCACCGTGAATCCGGGCGCGTGGACCAACCTGACGGGCGAGAAGCTTGAGCGCCAGTTGCGCCGCCGAGCCGTGGGGGCAGGGCGCCGGCCGCAGCAGTTCCTCGCGGGCAAGCCTTCGCGCGCCCAGGGAGTTGGCAACGGGGCCCAAGCGCGCGCCCGTCAGGCGAGCGCCCCCGGAGCCGCCACGGATGAACGGGGCAAAGCTACCGCCCGCAGTTTCGCAGCGCCTACCGCCAGAGGATCGGGCCGCGACTTGCCCTGCCCGGCCTGCTCGGCCCGCGCAGCGCGGGGTCCAGGCGCGCGATCCTGGGCGCGGGCCAGCGCGAGCTGATCTTGCCCAGCGTCGCCGACATCCAGACCCGTGGGCATGGCCCGCGCCCCAGTGCAGGAGGCTCCGAGCGGACACCTGGCGATGGTCATCGACGACTGAAAGGTCGGTGCACGGCGCGGGCGGCGCGCCCGACCGCTCTCCGCAATTGCGCGCCCAAGCCGAGGAGACGGAGATTGAGGCGGAAGCCGCGACGCCTGTCGTTGCCCCTCCAGCCAGGGGGTGGAGCAACGGTCGTTTCTCGGCTCTCAATGATCTGAGGCCCTTCTCATGGCTCGCCCCAGCTCTCCCTGCCGGGGGGCCGACGTCGCGCCCCGATCGCGCCTTAGCGATGGAGCTCGCGCCCGCGGGCGCCACAGGTTCCACGCGGGCGCGGGCGGCAGGCGCGAGCGCCCCGTCCCGCCGGCGCTATTTTTTTTCCATTTCTCAGTTGGTCGCCCGACAGGCATACCAGTGCGCGTTGGATCATGGTGCCGTTCCTGGGAAGAAGTGCACGCGTGCCCGATATTTACCGCGCCAGCTACAACTGGCGCGTCGGAGACAACGTGCCACGTGCAGCAATGGACTTGGCAACCAAGCTGCTCGCACGATAGAAACGCTTACGAACCTAGCAGCGGGCGCGAGACCGGCCATCGTCAGGCTCTGCAGAATTCTACGCACCCAAGAACTTGAGCACAAGACCCGCCGCGACAGCATTTCACATCGTCACGACGATAGAACAGGGGGCCAGCGTGCTGCGCGCATGTGCTGCAGACTTGGTGCACCGGGCGCCCTGGCACTGGACCGCGGAGCGCCCTCCGGAAAAGGGCCCCGCGTTTTTTTCCTGGGCATGGCGCATCGAAGCAGAAGTCCCGGCGCAATTCCACGCGCGATTGGTTGCGCACTTTGCTCAGGAGGAGTCAAAGATAGTTGGTCCCACAAATGCACCAGCTGCCCTGCTTGGCGAGAGGCCTCGGCAGCTTCATCGAGCACCCAGCACTCTCAGACCCGGACTGATCGCCGGCCCGACCATCCCGACTCAAATAGGACACATGAGAAGACACAACAGAAGATGATACAAGATGAAAGGATACGAGGGACTCAGAGAACGATGCATAATGGGATACCTCGCGACAGGATGCGCCATCACAGCGTGGTTCGCGAGACGAAGAAGTGGAAACATCTCGCGTAAGTCGCGTCGCCTCCGCCGCCAGCAACCAGATGGCGGAAAACTGTTGGATCTCCAACGTCAATGAGAGCACCGCGACACGTGCTCACTCGCTGCTCCGCGCGTCTCTTTCAACGCCGGACAAGACCTCCCGCCCGGCATGTTTCAACGCTTTGGCAGATTACGAGGCAACCTACATCACCCCTAATCATCAGCCCGCGGTGAGGGGCGTGGTAGGTTTGAGGGCAGGACTTGTCGTGTGGGGGGTTCGAAGATCGAAACTCTCGTGGTGTGGGGGGGCCGGAGCGTGGTGTGGGCGCAGTGGGGGGCGTGGGTAGGTTTTGGGGCAGCACTTGTCGTGTGGGGGTCCGGAGATCGAATCCTCGGTGGTGTGGGATCTTGGAGCGTGTTTGGGGCGCGGTGGGGGGCACCGGCAGGTGTCGGGCCAGGATTTGATTCGTGTGGTGTCATAGCGAAGTGAATGGTGGCACGAACCAAGGTCAAGGTGGACGGGCGAAGGTTTGATCGCAAGCGCCTCTGGGGTCGGCGGATTACCAAGTAGAGCGGATCTGAATCTTTTCCTTGGTGAACAAGCTCAGTAAATATCACATGGGTTGGAACATATAACCAATAATAATGAAGTCACCTTCAGAACAGACCTCTGGTGCGGACCATGGTTCGCAGGCGCTGATTTGCGGCCCGAGTTGTACTTCCTTGCGCCTCTGGAGCGGGGGACCCTGGGATCATGGTGCATCCGGCATCTGGCCGCGCCCGCTGGACAGTTCCGGCTTTGTCCATTTGGCGTTTGGTCTGGCCCTGGCGCATGAATTGCGCCGCCCGCGCGTTTGACTCGTCTTTCCCTCCGTTCCTCACAATCTCCCTCCTCCCTCCCCCCCCTCTCCCAGTCTGTCGCTGGAGTTTACGTTGTTCCTCCCCCATAAGCTGAGGCTGCGACCGTGTTTCCCGGTTCTGCCAGTGACGTCCTTGAGGCCTTGCCCGGAAGTGGAATGAACCTCATCCTTCATGCTCCTCCTGCCAGGGGGGCCTCCTCGCCAGGGATGGAGGAAGGAGGAGAAGGAGGAGGAAGAGGAGGAGGAGGAGGAGGAGGGGGAGGAAGAGAAAGAGGACAAGGAAGAGGGAGCGGAAGAGGAAGGGTACAAGCAGGTGGGGAGGGGGAGCAGGAGTTCTCCGAACGCTGTCCTCCTCCTCCTCCTCCTCCTCCTCCTCCTCCTCCTCCTCCTCCTCCTCCTCCTCCTCCTCCTCCTCCTCCCCGTCCTCCTCCTCCTCCTCCTCCTCCTCCTCCTCCTCGTCTTCCACGGGCTCCACGAGCCGCGGGGCGTTCCGCCCGCGCGCCCAGCGCGCCGTGCGCTCCGCGCGCGCGGCTGCCGTCATGGCGCTGCCGCAGGACATCGAGGAACGTCGCGGAAGGGGGGGCGGGCGATGAATGATGATGATGATGGTGATGGTGATGGTGATGGTGATGATGATGAGGGATGGTGATGATGATGATGAAGAGAAGAAGATGATGATGATGATGATGATGATGATGATGATGATGATGACGATGATGATGATGATGATGAAGAGAAGATGATTGGTGGTGGTGATGATGATGGCGATGATGATGACGACAATGACGATGATGATGACGATGATGATGAAGATGATGATGATGATAATGATGATGATGATGATGGAGGTGGTGGTGATCATGATGAAGGTGATAGTGATGGTGATTGTGATGATGATGGTGTTGGTGATGGTGATGATGATGACGATGGTGGTGATGGTGATGATGATGATGATGGTGATGGTGACGGTGACGTCGATGGTGATGGCGATGATGATGGTGGTGATGATGATGGTGATGATGATGGTGGTGATGATGATGATGGTGATCGTGATAGAGATGATGATGATGATGATGATGATGATGGCGATGGTGATGGTGATTGTGATGACGATGGTGATGATGATGGCGATGATGATGACGGTGATGATGATGGTGGTGGTTGTGATAGTGATGATGATGATGATGCCGATGATGATGGTGGTTGTGATGATGGTGGTGATGATGAGGAGGTGATGATGCTCACGCTAATGATGATGATGCTGATGATGGTGGTCGTGATGATGATGATGACGATGATGATATTGACGATTATGATGATGGTTGTTGTGATGATGATGAGGAGGTGGTGTTGATGTTGATTATGTTGATAGTGATGATGATGACGATGAGGATGATGATGATGATTGAGATGATGGTGATGATGATGATGGTGAGAAAGAGATGATGATGATGATTATGATGATGGTGATGATGGTGATGATGATGGTGATGATGATGTTGACGGCGATGCCGATGATGATGATGATGGTGATGACGATGATGGTGATGGTGGTGGTGATGATGACGATGGTGATGGTGATGGTGATGGTGATGGTGATTGTGATGGTGATGGTGATGGCGATGGTGGTGATGATGATGATGGTGATGGTGATGATGGTGGTGATGGTGATGGCGATGCGGATGATGGTGGTGGTGATGATGATGATGACGACGATGGTGATTATACTGATGACGATTCTGGTGGTGACGATGATGATGGTGGTGGTGATGAATCTGATCGTGATGATGATGGTGACGATGAGGATAGTGATGAGGAGTTGATGATGATGCTGATGATGATGATGCTGATGATGGTGGTGGTGATGATGATGATGATGATCACGATAGTGATGATGACGATTGCGATGATGGTGATGATGATGATGAGGAGGTGATGGTGATGATGCTAATGCTGATGATTATTATGCTGCTGATGGTGGTTATGATGATGATGACGATGCTGATTCTGATGGCAAGTTTGATGCTGTTTTTGGTGATGATAATGAGGAGGAGGAGGTGATAATGTTGGCGATGCTGATGCTGATGATGCCGATGTTGATGTTGATGATGATGACGATTATGATGACGATTATGATGGTGATGATGACCATGATGGTGATGATGGTGCTGATTACGATGATGATGATGATTCTGATTATGATTTTGGTGACGATGATGATGGTGATGATGATGATGATCACAGCGATGACGGTGATGATGATAATGATTATTATGGTGGTGGGTTTGTGATGATGATGACGATGGTGATGGTGATGATGACGGTGATGGTGATGGTGATGGTGATGGTGATGGTGATGGTGGTGATGATGATGATGATGGTGATGGTGATGATGACGATGATGGTAGTGGTGATTGGTGATGTTGGTGATAAGGATGGTGGCGGTGATTGATGATGATGATGGTGATGATGATGTTGACGGCGATGATGATGATGATGATGATGATGATGATGATGACGATGACGATGATTATGGTGGTGGGGGTTGTGGTGATGATTAGGATGACGATTGTGATGGTGAGGATGATGTTCATGGTGATGGTTATGGTGATGGTGGTATGATGATGGTGGCGGTGATGAGGATGGTGATGGTGATGATGACGATGATGGTGTTGGTGATTGTGATGGTGAGGATGATAGGAGCGGTGGTGGTGATGATGATGATGATGATGATGACGATGGTGGTGGTGATGATGATGATGGTGATGCGGATGGTGATGGTGATGATGATGATGACGGTGACGGTGATGATGATGGTGATGAGGATGATGATCATGACGAGACGGTGATGATGGTGATGACGGTGGTGGTGATGATGATGATGATGATGGTGATGGTGATGATTATGATGGTGGTGATGAGGATGATGGTGATGATGGGGAGGTGATGATGATGCTGACCATGATGATGATGATACTCATGATGGTGGTGGTGATGATGATGACAATGATGTTGACGATTATGTTGAGGCGGGTGGCGATTATGACCATGATGATGATGATGAGGGGATGGAGATGATGATGCTGATGACGATGATAATGAAGATGACGATGATGATGGTGACGATTATGATGATGGTAGGATGACGATGATGATAATGGTGATGATGTAGATGGTCACGACAATGACGATGATGACGATGCTGGTAATGATGGTTGTGGTTTTGGTAGTGATGATGGTGATGGTGATGGTGATGATGATGATGATGATGATGATGGCGATGGTGATGGTGATGGTCATGGTCATGATGATGATGATGATGATGGTGATGATGGTGATGGTGATGGCGATGAGGATGAGGGTGATGGCAATGACGGTGATGGCGGTGATGTTGATGATGGTGATGGGGTGGTGATGGCGATGATGGTGATGATGGTGTTGGTGGTGATGAGGATGATGGAGATGGCGACGGCGGTGGTGATGATGATGGTGATGGTGGTGCTGACGGTGATGGTGATGCGATGCTGATGGTGATGATGGTGGTGGTGTTGATGATGATGGTGATGATGGTGAAAATGGTGGTGGTGATGATGATGAGGGTGATGGTGATGGTCATGGTGATGGTGATGGTGATGATGGTGATGGTGATGGTGATGGTCATGATGATGATGATGGCGATGAAGACGCCGATGGTGGTGTTGGTGATGGTGGTGGTGATGATGGTGATGGTGATTGTGATGGTTGTAGTGAAGATGATGATGAGGATTATGAGGAGGTGATGCTGATGATGATGCTGATGATGCTGATGCTGATGGTGTCGGTGGTTATGATGATGATGACGATGAGGCGGTGATGATGATGACGATGATGATGATGGCGATGATGATGCTGATGGTGCTGATGATCACGAAGATGACGATGAAGATTATGAGTATGGTGGTGGTGATGATGATCATGTTGGTGGCTATGATGACTACGATGACGATGATGATGATGATGATGATGATGATGACGAGTATGATGATGATGATGATGGTGGTGGTGACGATGATGATGGTGGTGGTGGTGACGATGGTGATGGTGGTGATGATGGTGATGGTGATGATGACCATGGTGGTGGTGATGGTGATGATGATGGTGATGATGATGATCATGCTGGTGGAGGTGATGATGATGATGATGGTGGTGTTGCTGATGATGGTGCTGGTGATGGTGATTGTAGTGGTGATGATGGTGATGGTGATGGCGATGATGGTGATGACGATGACGATGATGGTAATGGAGTGGTGGTGATGATCATGATCATGGTGATGGTGATGATGATGGTGATGATGAGGAAATGATGATGCTGATGCTGATGATGATGCTGATGATTCTGCTGATGACGACGATGATGATGATGACGATGGTGATGATGATCGTGGTGATGATGATGATGATGATGATGATGATCATGATGATGATGCGAATGAGGAGGTGATGATGCCGGTGATGATGATGACGATGATGATGACGATTATCATGGTGGTGGTGGTCACTACGATGGTGATGGTGATGATGATTATGGTGATGACGGTGATGATGATGATGATGATGATGATGGTGATGGTGATGATTACCATGGTGATGGTGATGGCGATGGCGATTGTGATGGTGATGATGATGGTGATGGTGGTGGTGGTGGTGATGATGATGATGATAATGGTGATGGTGACGGTGATGTTGATGATTTTTGGTGGTAATGGAGGTGGTGATGGTGGTGGTGATGATGATGATGGTGATTATGGTGATGATGATGACGATGTTGGTGATGGTGATGGTGGTGGTGATGATGATGATGGTGATTGTGATGGTGATGATGATGATGGTGATGGTGATGATGATGGTGGTGATGATGATAGTTGTGGTGATGATGACGATGGGCATGGTGATGGTGATCATGATGATCATGTTACGGAGGTGATGATGCTGATGATGATGATATGAATCATGACGATGATGACGATTATGATAGTGGTGTTTGTAATGATGATGGTCATGATGATGAGGTGATGATGATGATTCTGATGATGAGGCTGATAATGATGCTGTTGGTGGTGATGGAGATGATGGTGACGAGTATGATGATGGCGGTGGTGATGCTGATGATGATGGTGATGATGATGACGTCGATGATGATGATGATGCTAACGATGATGATGATGATGATGATGATGATGATGATGATGATGATGATGATGATGATGATGATGATGGTGGTGGTGGTGGTGGTGGTGATGATGGCGATGGTGATCATTATCGTGAGGATGATGGTAACGGTGTTGGTGATTGTGATGGTGGTGGTGGTGATAATGATGACGGTGATGATGATTGTGGCGGCGATGGTAATGGTGTTTGTGATGATGATAATCATGGTGATTGTGATGATGATGATGATGATGGTGATGGCGATGATGATGATGATGATGATGATGATGATGATGATGATGATGATGATGATGATGATGGTGGTGATGGTGATGGTGATGGTGATGGTGATGGTGATGGTGATGGTGATGATGAT